CACAACTATACATATTTTGTGATTATTAGAGTTCGCAGGCAGAGAAAAAATAAAGGCAGTATGATGCGGTTTCTCGTTTTATATTTAGTTCATATGGTTTAATAGAGTTGTTCATTTTATGTTTAATTTACATTTAGTTATGGTTTAACTCTTTCACTACTGCAAGCCACTGGTAGCGGCTTTCGAGTATGCTTTACAATTTATCTTTTTTTTGTACATAAATTTCCATTCTAGACACATAGAATTTGTTTGTTCTAAAGGTTTAATAAATTCTCTACATAATCAAAAATAAGATTATAAAAAAGTTATCACAAAGTTAAAAAATCTTGAATAATCCTTCTTAAAAAAAACTTTAAATTTAGTTATAAAATAAAACAGCGTTAACACTGTAAAACTTAACTTGTAGAAGTGTTAAGTATTTAGTTAAGTAATTACCAAATTATTTTGAAGAAAAAATTTAATTGAGGTTTTAAATTAAACGAGGTTTGTTTCGGACTTAATGTTTTAGTTAACTAGTTACTACTTATAAAAACAATAGTTTTAAGCACTTGCATTTCTTATTATTTAATGATGCGTGTTAAAAACTATTATTATCAAACTTTAGATAATTGTCAATGTTATGCTATTCAAATGTTATTCAAAAAAATGTGCAGTTGCTACAAAAAGATTTTTGTTCGGCTGGTAGCAAACAATTTAATACGATTCTTTGTTTTTATATTTAATATTACAAATATTTGTTTTAACTTTAATTTAGTTTGAAATTTAGTTTTTTGAAGTTTAGATTTGAACGGTTATTAGTAAAATAATTTGTTTAATATTTATTATCTATGTTCAGTTTATATGTTTTATTCAAATCACTCGTTTTTTATTCAGTTTATACTTTAAATTAACTTATATGCTTTAGTAAAATTGTTCTTTTGGTATCTAGTTTATATTTAGTTTAAACAGTACGTTTACTGTAAATATTCGTTATATATTAAATTTTTATTTTTATAAATTTTATAAATTTAATTCTTAATTTCATCATAAACTTTTTTTGGGGATTTAGTAAAAAGTTATACAATCAACATGATTTAGTGATTGTGGCAAAAAAAAAAAAAAAACTACATTTTGAAAAGAAAAACTTATACAATGATGTCATATACCGAAACTGTTAGGAATTAAACACGTATGGTATAAATTATCAAGTCTGCAGATTGCGGCTAACATTATACAGACTCTAAGAACCAAAAAAAAAATGGAGACGGCGAGTGTCGACTAAAATGTGAATTTTAAATTTAATGGTGTGCATTCATTATATAGTTTTATTCAAAAAATTAAGCCCAAATGTTTTTTTTAAACTTTTTCTTTAACATGAACACAACTTGTCTCGGCAGTTGGGAATCTCTTTAAGTTACTTAGTTAATTATACGTAATTTCATTTATAAAACGTAATTAAATATATTTATTTTGCCAAGTTTTGTAAGTTTTTTTTCGGTTTAGAATTGTTTTGCAAGTTGCGTTACGAAGATTTATTTTAAAAGAAATTTTGTTTTTTATTATTTCAAAAAATAAAACCTTAACAAGTTAATATGTTGCGATACTGAAGATAAAATTTTATTATAAACATTTTGGTATATAAAGATTTTATTTTTTACAATTAAATCAGTTTGACGAACAAACTTTCTTTATAGGCTTCAAAATGTTGTTTAGCAAAAGAGCTCGTTTCCCAAGAGTGACTCTTGTATGTCCTTCTTTCATATGTAGCAAAATAGTTTTATTTCTTAATTTAACTTGCAAAAGGCTAAATTTCTTAACTAGCATTTGTTAAATGAACATAGATGATTCTAAATGTTTCGTAATATTTATTATGAAAAAACAAATTCCTTATTTTAAATATCTTTCTCAAAGAATTTTATTTTTCTGGTATTGCATAAAATCTTCAAGTTAGCAACTCTAGTCTCTTATTATGTTTCATTCTGGAGATATTCCAATTTTTTCTACGAGGTGAATATTAAAAAACCTCCAGAAATAAAAGGAATGGTTTTTATTTCCTCCAGAAATAAAAGAATGGTTTTTAGTCCCTATACCTGTTTTCAATGAAATCAGGTATAGGGACCCTTAAAACTAACTAACAAAATATTTTTTAAAGGAAATTGTTAAAAATTACTAGCCAAGTCTGATTTCATGAAAATTATATTGAAAACCCTAAAAAATATTAATTTAAAAAATGCGTAACTTTTTGATATTAATATATCCGTAAAAAAAAACTTAAAATGTTTGCAAAGTAAAGTTCTTTGTAAAGTCATACTTCTGATGATGTCATCCTTCTAATGATGTCATACTTCTACATTAAAAATCATAAGTAAATTCATGGAAAGACAATAGCCTAAACAATTTAACTAAATTAATGTAGTATTTTCTTATGATTTTGAGAAAAAAGAATGTAAAAAAAAAAATCAAAAAACTTTCAATTTTTGCTTTTCAATACTAAGCTGAATTTTTTTGTATTAGGAGGTTCAACAGCATATCTTTCAAATCAAATCAAATATATTCTGAAATAGATTTTACATTTCATGAAATATTTACATATAGTACAAGTACTAACTTTATTTGATATGTAGTAAAGGATGTTGGGGTCAGAGTTAAAATGCTAAAAAAAGAATATTTTTAGGGCTTTATTTTTAATGTGAGATAATCTTATAAAAGTTTGAAACTAGGTTTGTCTCCATATTTGACAAATTTATCCAAGATGAGACTCAAAAACAACATGATATATGTTAAGGTGCGTTTCAAGATTAAGATAATATTGAATTTTGGCCAACATGCCATTAGATCTGTTTAGTTTTAGTACTAAGTCTTGAAAGATGCAAAACTTAAATTTAAACTTAAATAAAACTATTGTGTTCTCTTACTTTTCTCATTTGCCTAAACTGATTGAAATCCTGGTAAATGCTTGTTCGGTCCAGTAACCTAAGTGTACAGAATATAAAAAAAACATCGGTCATATAATCTGCACAAAGATTCTAAAGAATAATGATCAACTTTTTGAAAGTTAGGAGATGAGGTCATGCAAAGCAGACAAGAGTGCTTTAATGTTGCAGTTTGTTTTCCAACCATTTGAAGCAATCCTTTATAGTTTCAGATACTGTATAATCTAATGAAGAAATGTTCAACTTATCCAAAATTATTCGCAGATTATGGTCTATTTTGTTCAATAAAGACAAAATGGCCAGTATAATATATTATATTATGCTGACTGTTTTGACTGATGGATATCTGATGGTGCAAAATTAAAAAATGCAAAAATGTTCACAAATATTGTTCAACCCCCTTTATTAACAGGGACAAAAATAAAAAAATAGTAGCGCTTGTTAATATTCCCAGTCTACATATACTTTTAGGTGTTATAGACAAAATTTTAAAAGAAATTAAAAACAATTTGTTTGAAAACAAGGAATGTGGGTTAAAGTTTGTCAACCGATATTTGTCTACTATAGACATCTGAAGAGTATCCTACCAAGTGTAGCATTGTTCAGAAGGCAATGCTTGCAATAAGTTGCTTAAAAACATAGATACCTTTGAGATGTTTTTTCAGGAGTCCAGTCTTGGAGATCCCTTATCCAAATACACATAGTTGAGCAACATATTATCAAATTCATTGATATGAAAGGTGCAGTCTTCGGTATGATAAATAAATTTTAAGTTTGACAAAAGATTAAATTAATATTATTTAATTATAATAAAAGTAATTAAATACTTATTATTACAATAATACAAAAGTTTATGCAAGTTTAAACCTGCATAAACTATGGCGATATTTCATTAAGTAAACTAAAACTTATTTTGTTCATTTTATGTTCTGTACACTTAGGTTACTGGATCGAACAAGCTCTGGAATTCATTCACCAGGATTTCAATCAGTTTAGGCGAGTGAGAAAAGTAAGAGAACACAGCCGAAACTATATTAAAGCGCTAAAAAATGCAATTGTTGCTTACAACACTTTTAAAGTAGCTTTTAATTTGTAGGTAGCTCGAAAAAAATATAATATTAACCTCTTATGAGCAATTGTTTCACATAAATTCTTAATATATGATATGATTATATATGACATGCAAAATATAAATAATAATTTAACCAAATAGACCAAAAAAAAATTTTTTTACAGCCATAAATTTGTTGTACTTAACCCTATTGGACCTCCAATACCCCACCCCTAGTGTATGGTTCCCTAATAGAATTTTTCAAATTTTTTTTTGTGTTAAATTAAGGTAGATCAAAATTCATTGACAGATTTTAAATTTCATCAAAAAACAATATCTAGTTTAAAAGATATTACCATTCAAAGTTATTTCAGGGGGTAAATTTGTGGAATTTTGAACTTCTTATGGTCATTAATCTTAAACAAAAAGATATTTTTTGATGAAACTTAAAATCTGTTGATAAATTTTGGTCTAATTTATGATAGAACTTAAAAAAAAAATTTATTAGCTTAGGAGATGTAGTTCTAGGAAGGGGGCAATTTGGGGTTGGGTTAGCTCCATTTACCTCAACTTTTTGCAATTCATTCTCATTTGATACCATTATTAACATATTAAAAATTTGAGTATGCCACATAGCTCTTAGTTACCTATCTTGAACAACAAAATTACTAGGCACTCGTCTAAAATAGGTGATTTCTCCCTAGGCCCTTGGTGAAAAAAGTTGTTTTTTACATTTTTTAAAATAAGAAAGACTTTTCTGATAATAAACAAAAAAAAATTCTGGAGATGTGTTGCAAGGTCTCAGAACATCTTCCTAAGCACTGTGTATACTTTAGTTCATCATCATTATTGATATTACTAAATATAATAAAGTAATAATTGTTTGATAATTTTATATAAAACTTTTTTTTATTTTAATTTTAGAGGAAAAGTTTATTTGCATAAAGCCTTATAAAGCAGAACAACCTGATGAGTTGTCATTGACATTGGGAGATGTTGTGTTTGTGTTAGGAAAGTGTTCAGATGGTTGGTGGAATGTTAGGTTTGTTTAATGTTAAATTTTTATAATTAGTCTTGTTGAATATATACATTATTATCCTATTTATGTTTATTAATATTTTGCAATATGAATTATCAAATCAAGTACCAAGTAAACATTCATCAAGCACTTGATGAATGTATATACTACATATATGTATGTGTGTATGATGTAAATAATAAATAATGACTGGCATAAGTGTGTAAACGAAATACATTTTTAGGTTGAAACGTGATGCAGAAAAAGATTATGATGGTTTTGTGCCTGCAATTTACCTAAACAAGGTTCCTGAAGGAGCAGAAGCTGGAGTTGTTCGCCAATCTAGGGCAGGTTTACCATCAAGAGGTAGGAACAACAAGATTATCATCTCGTTAGCTTTTGTAAAAAACTTAAAATCATCTAATACCACAAGTAGGAGATATTAAAAATATTTTTTCAGAATATTTATTTTCAAAATTACTTGAAAATTTATTTATTCTATTTTTAGTATTTAAAAGTATAATTTTATTTATTGTTATATTTCAAATATGCTTATTAAAGTATGTTAAATTATACTTTAAAATGTAACTTGAAGGCTTAACTTGAATTAACTAAATGTTTGTTCTATAAAAAATACATTACAAACAGGTCTAAAAGAAGGATAGCTTATCAATATGAGAAGTTGCCATTTCAAAAATAATATGAGAAGTTACCATAATAAGTTACAAAAATGAGTACAAAAATATTTTATTCTTTTTATCAATTGAAACCATTACTTTAAACGACATTGCATGATTAGTGGGCTATAATATAAAAATAGGTTTAACAGAAAAATTAGTAAAAGAAAGTATTTAAATATTTTAAAAAAAGGTTTAAGAATAAATACATCCTTGGTTTTAGGTCTAAAGGCTTTAATTTTTCTACAGGTCATAAACGCTGGTCAGCTTCAAGAAACTCAATTCTTGGTATACTGATAGATTAAAATGGACTCACACAGGCTTTCAACATTATGATCACACAGGTAACTTCTCCTGTGTCATATATTGTTGATAAGCAACAGCTTCACATATTTTAAAGAAGTATGAGTAAATGTGTGTTGATGAATTTGCTATGGTTGTTTTCCAAAAACAATTGATTGGGATGATTAAATTCCAGATAAAGTTGTTAACAATGTTGATCAATGGTTTCAAGATTTAAAAAATAGATGATAAAAAATTCCAAGTTGTTTGTAAACATCTTGGAATTTTTATCATCTATTTTTTAAATCTTGAAACCATTGATTAAAATTGTTAACAACTTTATCTGGAATTTAATCATCCCAATCAATTCCGTCAATCCACAATTCTTGCATAACTATTTTGATGCAAATGATATAGGATGATAAAAACCTTAAGGGATCAAATAATAATGCCATCTTTTTAAGCAAAAATCATTTTATATAGTTAATTTTATTTTTTTTGTGTTAACAGAATAAATAGCAAAAAAATCAGATTATGCTTTCCAGACAACTTCTAGCATTTACATTGCAGGTAATTCCAAAATCTAAATTTATATGTTGAGCACAATCATTTTCAGGTGTTGCTTTAAGGACTTTGACCGAGTTTGGAAGCCATTTCGGACCTTAAGGGCTTTGACCAAGTTTGGAAGCCATTTTCATGCAAATATTTCTGCTAAATTTTCATAGTAGCATATGTTGTCTGTATAGTTGAATTCCTGTCTTTTCATCAACTACAGAAACTATTGTATCATCCATGTATATTGCTTCCAGAACAGCTTTAGAAGTCAAAAGAAACTTGTGTGCGTACTTTCTTGAATGCTATTGTGTTGCAAATCGTGCCATGATCAGCAATGAGCTGATCCCAAATACAAGTCTGCTAAACTTGAATACATTGGGTTCTGCAGTTTGATCCTGATTTCTTCATAAAATTTGTTGGTATCTTCGATTGTCTTTATGTATTCTGATTCTAAAATACATTTTTGCTGTATCACAAGTTATTGCAACTGGATATTTTTGAAATTAAAATAAAAATGTCACAAGGTCTTGTTGAAGTTTTACACCTTGATAAGTAACTTTATTAATTGATTTACCATTGTATTTTGCAGATCCATCAAATACACTTCTGACTTTTGTAGTTTATTTATCGGATGGGAGCATTGAAAAGTGTGATAAGTACCGACCATCTCCTAGATTCTTCTTATCAATTTCCTCCAAATATCTCTTCTCTTGATACTGCCTAATAAGTCTATTATACTTATTGAAGACTTTTGTTTTAACTAGACATTTTTTTGTCCTTTTTTGACTCCTTCAAATCGAATTGTACTCGTGGCCATAGCTTAAAATATTCTAAGAAATTTTCAATACATAATTACAGAGAAAATGTTTTACTAAATCGAGTTACAATTTCTTGGAATGAACTGCCAAAAGTGTTATTGAAACTACTTCAGTAAATTTGTTCAAAGCAAGACTTGATTGATGGGTGTCAAACCATCATGAGAATCAGCTTTCATAGTGTACTTAAAACACACTGGTAGCAATTCCAGTCACAGCATAAACTAATACTAATACTAACTTCGAAAAATGGATTTGAAGATATTCTACAAAACCATCAATACATGTTCATTCAAGGGGTGTGGGCTGAGCAACTGGTTCATTAGATCCCCTTTAATTTCTTTAACTACACAGTGTAATTCAGCATAATCCATACCAATTAGAATATCAATTTTATGGTTTAGTTCAATGTTTTGGAATTTTATGTTACTTAGATGTCTCCTCCTTTACAACCTTTTTGCCCAAAATTCAATGACTTCAGCTAGTATTTTTTGGCATTGTTTTAAACGAATCAATTTTTCCGTTTATCATATTGACAGTTGCCTTTTTTTTGTTTTATCTAACAGTGAAAACTCAGGAGCTACACCAGGATTCAAATACAAGTGTGTACTTCCATCGTCAAGCAATGCGTTGACTACAAGTCAACGCATTGATTGACGGTACCGTTTGAAGAGTTCATTATGTGTATATAATTGAATATTTGACATAAAAAAGTTTTCTATTTTCATGTTTTTTTTTTTCTCAGAAATTTTTTCAGTTAGGCTCTTCTTGTGAAGGAAACGGTTGTTGCTATGCACAGCCATAAATTCCATAAGTTCTAGAGTTTCTTCATTTTTTGATGAGTGGTTAAAATTCAAACATCTGAAGCAAGGTTAATCTTTCTCCCATCTTTCTTCAACATTTGATTAGGTTAAAGGTTAGACAATCCCCTGTTTTATGACCGCTTTTGCAAACATAACATTTCTTCATCCAATATATTTTCTTTTTTCGATGTCACCATAGCACAAATTTGCTTTAGGAGGTTTTTAACCAGTGCTTTTTTTAATCAATGAAGAATTTCTGTTGCTGCAATTTAAAAATCTTTAATTATAAACTTTTTGAGAGACATTTTCTTTCAATCTGTTCTCATTTACCCAAAATTTATTTCTTATTAACATACTTTTAACATACTACTTATTAACTTACTTTTAAGTCAACATATTAAATATTTTCTCTATATATTCTGTTTTTACTTATAATATAATTTGCTTTGTAATAGGTATTGTTCCTCCACCAAGAAGAAACTCCTATAAGGTATTTGTTAATCTTTTAAAATAAGATGTAATCTGAGAAAATTTTCTGAAAAAATTCATTTTTGATTTAGATGAAAATAAATGTATCAACTGATAAAACCCTTGTTGATGAGAAAAGTAAAACAAGTTGTTTGACAAATGTGAACCAAGTTGAAGTATCAGAATCGCTATATGTTGCATCTACTAATATTAAAGCGTTTGGCGAAAAGAAGATAGATATATTTGAAGGTGCACCTGTTGTGGTTCAAGACAAGTTACCAAATGGATGGTGGTACATTGAAGTTGGTGGTGTAGAAGGCTGGGTGCATTCTAAAATGATTACTCGAACAAGTTTAAAAAAGATCAAAAAAGATCAAGCAACAAAAGAATATTACAGAACATCAGCAAGTTTTAATTCCACGGATAAAGCATGTTTATCATTTTTAGAAAATCAGGTTGTTGAAGTAATTGAAAAAAACGATAGCGGTTGGTGGTTAATTAAAACTAAAAGTCAAGAGGGGTGGGCACCATCTAGTTATTTAAATAAAATGCATTCCAATTGTAATGAAGTTAAAGATACATCTAAAGTCATTTCTATTAAGCCGGATTTAGAGACCGGGAAATTTTTTAAGGGAAATTTAGAGACCGGAAAACCTTTTAAGGGAGATTTAGAAAACAACAAACCTTTTAAGGAAGATTTAAAACCACAAAAAAATAATCATATTATTGTGCCACGACCTCTGCCACGACCGAATCTCAATTCTAAATCGTCTTCCAAAACATCGACTGATAACATCGACGGTGCTTCGAGATTCTGTAATAAACAAAATAACAACAACCTTGTTTTGGCGGGAAAACCCGCTGTACCAAAAAGACCATTAACTAAGGTATCTGAAACCGGACCAATATCATGTTCCAATACATCAATATATACTGAACTTGTGGTTTTCACTGCTCCTACTTGCCCAAGTGATCCAAATTATAAAGAATTACAAATACAGCCCATTCCAACGAAAAATCCAATTAAAACAGCAGAAGAAGATTATATTGATATCGATAAGTATCAATCTAAATATGAAGGAATAAGAAATCCTCCAGTTTCGAAATACACTAAACTTAATGTAGCTAGTGCTCCTCCGCGCCCTACTGGTCAAATATTTAAAGAACCAAAATTGAAACCTGATTTTTGCTCACCGCTGATAAAATCAAATGAAGAAATCTACACAGCGATTGAAAATTATGAAGACACTGATGAAAGTATAATAAATTTAAAGATAGGCCAGCGAGTGCGTGTTTTAAAAAAAGATAATGGAGGTTGGTGGTATGCCGAAGTTGATAATGCTTTAGGCTGGGTACCATCTAACTTTTTAAAATTGTGTAATTAAAGAATATTTAATAAATTATTTAAGTATGTGAAAACTATATTTTTATAGAATTTATTTTTTTAGTAATTTTTTTAATAATTTAACTGTATGTTTTTATTTTTGGTGGCATGCCAAAATGCTCCAGGTTGGATACTATCTAACTTTTTAAAATTGTGTAATTAAAGAATATTTTATAAATTATTTTAGTACATAAAAACTGTATTTTTATATAATTTAGTTTTTTAGTAACTTTTTTAATGATTTAACTGCATGTTTTTAATTTTACGTTATTTAATATCTCAATATTTTATATCCTTATTTGCTGTTTTGCGTGTATGCGTGCGTGTGTGACTGTTACGCGACACGATATCATAATGACATCATTAATGTTATGGTATTTTGTCATATCGGCATCAATATGTGACATTCATAATGACATTTTGCACGATCGATCCATCTTTATTCAACAATCTACCTATAATCCATCTAGATTTTATTGGTAATAAAACAATACAATTTTATTTTACTTTGTTTGAGTTGTTAGTTATTATTTGCTAATATAAATAGTTGTTAGTTATTATTTGTTAATATAAATAATAGTATGCATGGAATACATAATGTATACTTAATAAATAGTAATGCTTCCATCGAAACGTCTAAAGTGCATTTATCTAAACGTCGAAACGTTTTAAGTGCATAAATATTTGTTATCAAAATAAACAAATTTTACATAAAGTTTTGATAAGTTAAAAACCAGGCGCGAAATAAATTTATGAAAGTGTGTGTGAAAGAGTGCAGGAGGTAAAAAAAATTATTAATGTGTTTGATGAGGTAAAAAAAAAATTTTAATGTGAATACTCATGACCCTTTTACCTCTTCGTGCTTTTTAGAAATAATAAATATTACTAAAAAATTTCAATTGTTTCTTTGATAACTAGCGTAGTCAGCAACATTTTCCAACTGTAAACATCGGTAAGCAAACTGTAAACATCGGTAAACAAAGGTTTTAGTCAAGATTGCTTTACGATAATATTTGTTTCAGCGTTGTGTGCAGCAATCTCATAGTAAACTGGCTTTTAAAAAAAAAGTTACACATAAATTTAAAATCATACATAAAAAATGAACAATAATATTTTGTATTATAAGAATCACTGTTGTTTTAAGTTAAAAAGTTTTTTAAAAATATAATTTATTGTGGTGTGTCATCAGCTAGGGTTGCCACTCTCCGTAGGAAAACGCATTAGCTCTCCGAAGGAAAAAAGAGGAGAATGGCAATCTCTCAGCTGATTTGAACCGCACATGTTTAAGCCACATTAAACCTAGTGCTTCCAATACCGGTAGTACCGTAGTAAACCAGAAGTAAATTTTTGACAAATCGAGATTTTCTTATAGGTTGACTATTAAAACGTGATTTCACTGAAAACTTTTATTTTTATTAGTGACTGATATTTTTCATTTTAAGGCCAGTTTATTTTTTTTCTTAGTCTAGAGACATTTTTTATTTGTTGAAAACAAAAACTCAAAACAATCAGAAACAAGTAAAAATTAATTAAAGGAAAGGAGGGGAATTTTAATAAGCTTGACAGAGTAAGAAAAACTGTTTAAATTCGTTTTTAAATGGACCTACAATATTTAAGAAAGAGTTTAATTAATTATTATATTTTGGAACAACAAAGTTAACCTCTAAGAACCTAGCTTTAGTTTTTATATAAACTTGACTTTCAAAAAAATTTTAAAAGCATTTTAAAAAATTTTTTTAAAAAATTTCTAAAATGCTTTTAAAAATTCTGTGTCTCCCCACTGTATCAAGCTGTAATGGTATCACCCGGCCGCTCCTGGTGACACCATCGTGGTTTCAGGAAATTACAAAGCTTGTTTACAGACTCTTTTTTAAAAAAATAATTATTTTAGGCGTTAAGCGATTATCGAAATCAGATTATGTATATGGTCTAGTACAGGGAAACTCTGAAGAGATCCATAGTTAAAGTCTAGAGGGGTGACACCCTAAGTTCACCGCACTGGGTGACGCCACTGAAAGAAGCAAAATTTAAAGGACTGATGTTTGAGGAAATAAAACTAGACGAATAAGACTTTTTGGAGCACTTAGGATCAGTCACAGGCAAAGGCTGAGACTTAAAGCTAAAAAAATTTCAATTTGAAACCGTATTCTTGACTCGTGTTATTCTTTTTCTTTTAGATGGTTTTAAACACGCTACAGAAATAATGCGTACTTTTTTACAAAGTTGAAATATTATGATTTAATATTTAAATCAAAATAATTCAGCTGGGAAGTTAGCGAAAGTTGTATAGATCTTAAAATTCTTATACAAGATTTCTCTATAATAATTGCCTATAATTATATTCTCTACAACAATTCTCTATTATTATGAAGAAAATAAATTTCAACCATCTAAGTTCGTTGAAATAATCTTAGGTTCGAGGGGATAGACGAAACGGAGGGAGAAACTTGGGAAAATTGTGAGAAAAAAATTAAGTTATAACTTCAAGAAAAACTAGGCATTGATAGGGGTATACAGATAGAAAGACCTCATCGTACAGGGAAGAAAGAAAACGAAGACACGAAAAGTAAAAGAACAATTGTTGCAAAATTTCTAGGCTTCAAAGATCGCGAAAGCATTTTGTCAAAATATAAAAAGATGAAGCTGTGGAACGAAAAATTATTTATTAACGAAGACACTACAGTGAAAGAACGATAAACATTCGATAACAGCTGTTTACACAAGCAAAAAAACTGCGACTATCAGGTAAATTTGCTAAAGTGGTATACAATATGTTAATCACAAAGCATTCCGAATAAATTTTTATATTGCCGTACATCATGGCCTACTATATTACACGGCCGTGTATGTTACTTTTAAGAGGCCATGTCAATGTCATGGTAAAGCAATGCAAACGGTGAAAACCCAGTAGACTTGTGCTTTCTAACACTTAAAGAAAAAAAAACACTATCAATAATGTATGGCCATTCCAGAGCAGCCTCATCAAGCACTTTTACTAATATACGTTTAATTGTTTGATTTTGTCTCTCTATTAATCCATTAGCTTGAGGATGATATGCACTCGTAATTGTTTGAATTGTTCCTGTTGTTGAGTAAAGTTCTTTAGAAATTTAATTTACAAACTCACGACCCTGGTCATTTATTTGAATTTCAAAACAGCCATGTCTACATATCTGTTTATGCACAAAAAAAAGCCACAGCTTTAGCAGTTTTATTGGTAAGTGCTTCTGCTTCAACCCATTTACTAAAGTAGTCAATTAATACAACCAGATATTTGCAACCGTTAACTTTTGGTGGCTGTGTTAAATCGATTCCAACCTGCTTCATATTGCCTTTAGGAATTGGAATATTTTGCAGCAATGGTATCGACTGAAGTTTTCTGTTCTTTGACTTTTGGCATTGGTCACATTTGGAAAAATAAGTTGTAATATATTTTATCATTCCATACCAGAAAAATCTACTTTGAATGTGATAGGTTGTGTTATTAATACCTGTATGACCAGATAAAGCTTTAGACTTAACAGAGAAATCGCTTCCTTCATGAAAAAACTTTATTATGTTTTGTTGTTCATCTCTACTCCAAATAACTTTTCTCTAAAAAAAAAAAAGAAGCTGTAAATCATCAATACAATCAGAATCAAAACTAAATTAATTTTTATTATTTATTAAATAAATTATTTGTAAATATTCATGTTTATTTGATGACTAGATTCTAGTTGTAAAATGACAAAACTTTTAAAACATTTTGAAATAATAGCATACCTTTGCAGCTTTGTTTAAATGATATAACTCATTATTATCAACTATAAAAGGCTTAGTTTGTCTTCTAAAATTGACTTTATCGCTTTTATTTAAAACTTCTTTTGGATATATTTTGCATTTTAAGTAACTAAAAATATCTGCAAATCTAGAGTGCATGTTTTATTGATATGCAATTCCGCTAATAACAACTTGAGAGTAAAAATAAAATAGTGAGAGTAAAAATCTCATATGCTTTTTTTTACTCCGCGGTAAAAACTTCATACGATATTTGTACTGGGGAGTAAAAAAAACACGGGAGTAAATATCTCATACTACGGTGTAGTATATAAAAAAAGATGGCTGCGCAACTATAGAGAAAACATATAACTATATCTCGTCTAGACTAAATAGATAGTATAAATATAATATTACGAGTAGGAATATTATTAATAAAAAAGTATTCACGAAAAGCTGGCATTTTTTGCTTTAATACTAGCGATTTATGAATTTATAAACATATATATCATATATATATATATATATATATATATATATATATATATCATATATATGTTTATTAATTCATAAATCGCTAGTATTAAAGCAAAAAATGCCAGTTTTTCGTGAATACTTTTTTATATACATAGATATATTATATCTATGTATATTATATACATATTTGTATCTATAATATATATTTTTATATATTTGTACATTCCACAATTAAATTGACAACACTGTGAATTTACAAAAAAAAAAGGTTAAATTTTTTGTTTTTTTATGTTATTATCTATTTATGTTTTGTTTTTTTTTCCTTTTTTTTTTAAAGTATTATTTTTCTCTCTGTCTACTTTTGAAACCTTTAACAGCATCTTTTCGTACAGTGGCATTGATTATCTTCTGCTTTTTGTTAAAAAAGACATTAATTATAATTTTAGAAGCAAATTTAAACCCCCATTCTTTGTGTGAATCGCAAGTAAAGCAAACTGTTGGAAAGTATTTTGATAAAACAAAGCTTGATACATCTTTTACATTAGCACCTTGTTTGGTTATTAAACTTGAAAGATTATCTAAGACTGCAAAACATCCACATGTGAACTCCTTAAGTGAAAGTGAAGGCACAGTAAGACGATCTCGTGAAAGTATTTGTAGATATGGGCAAATATTTATATTGCTTGCATCTATAGCAAGCATAAACTTACAACCGCTACATTTGCTTCTTTTTATTAATTTCTTTGCTATATAACCAGCAATTGTTGTGGCAACTTCTTCTGTTTCAGGTGATAGAGTAAAT